CTCAGACGCCCCATTTTGTGGAGCTCAGAGAGGTGATCAGGAACAAAAGCCTGCCCCCAGGGGAATCAGTGCCTCCCTCTGCTCGGGAACTCCCACAAAGCAACCCACTTCCACAGAGCCTTCCCGTCCGGACCAGGGCCGGGACAGATGAGCCTTCTCACCCTTCTGCTTGTCTGTTTTTCACTCATAAATAAATACCAGGCCTATTTATCACATACAACATATTGCTTGGATATAGGTATACTCTGTGGAACGGCTAAGTCAAGCTAATCAACAGATGCATTACCTCACAGCCTTATTTTTTTGCAGTGAGAACACTTAACGTCTACTTTCTCACCAATTGTCAATGACATAATGTGTTGTTATTAACAACAATCACTATGTTGTATAACAGATCTCTTGAACTTATTCCTACAATCTAAATGAAATTTCGTGTTTTCTGATCAATGTCTTCTAAATGCTTCCACCACCCGCCTCGGGAAACCACCATTTTACCTTCTGCTTCTGTGAGTCTGACTTTTTTAGGTTCCACATATAAGTGAGATCATGCAGTGTTTGCTTCCCCGGGCCTAGCTTATTTCACTTAATGCGATGTCCTCCAGGTTCGTCCATGTTGTTGACAGTGACAGGATCCCTTTCTTTTTAGGGGATGAATCACTTCATGGTGTATATATACCACATTTTCTTTCTTGTCCATTGGTAGCTACGTAGGTTGATTCTATAGCTTGACTAATGTGAATAGTGCTGCAATGCACATGAGCATCTCTTTGACATCCTGATTGCGTTTTGTTTTTGGATAGATACACGAAAGTGGGATTGCTGGATCCTGTGGTGCTATGGCTTGAATGTGTTCCCAGAAGTTCACATTTTTTACTGAATGCAACAATGTTAACAGATAGGACCTTTAATGTGATCAGGTCATTGGGTGCAGTGGCTCATGCCTGTAATCCCAGCACTTTGGGAGGCCAAGGTGGGTGGATCACCTGAGGTCAGGAATTCGAGACCAGCATGACCAACATGGAGAAATAAGCCATGGTGGCAGGCACCTGCAATCCCAGCTACTCATGAGGCTGAGGCATGGGAATCACTGGAACCCGGGAGCGGAGGTTGCAGTGAGCTGAGATGGCACCATTGCACTCCAGCCTGGGCAACAGAGTGAGACCCCATCTCAAAAAAAAAAAAAAAAAAAAGAGGCGATCAGGTCATGAGAGCTCTATGCTCGTAAATGGATGAACGTGGTTACCTCAGGAGTGGGTTTGTTAGGAAAGGAGCTCTGCTTGTTCTCTCATGGACGCACTCTTCACTCTTCTGCTTTCTTCCTCTTCCACCTCCGCCTTCCACCGCAGGATGACCCAGCGAGAAAGCCCTTGCCAGATACGGGCCCCGACCTTCCACTGTGGGAAATAGATCTCTATTCTTTATAAGTCACGCAGGTGCAGGCATTCTGTGATAGCGGCACAAAAGCATGTGAGATGTGCAGTCATCTTGTCTTCAGTCTTGGAAGCGCCTCCCTAGGCTTTCCACCATGGCTGTGCCAGTCTACATTCCCACCAAGAGGGTGCAAGGCTTCTCTTTCCATGTCCTCACCAAAACTTGTTCTTTCATCTTTTTGCTGATAGTCATTCTAGCAGATGTGAGGTAGTGGCTCATCATGGTTTTAATTTGCCTTTCATTGATGCTTAGCGGTGTTGAGCACTTTTTCATATATCCATTGGCCTTATATATATGCATGTCTTCTTTTAAGAAATGTCTATTCAGATCCTTCGCCCATCTTTGAATCGGGTTTTTTGTTTTCTTGCTGTTGAATTGTTTGAGTTCTTCATATATTTTGGGTATTAACGTATGGTTTGCAGATATATTCTCCCATTGCATAGATCGTCTCTTCAATCTGTTGTTTTCTTTGCTGTGTAGAAGATTTTTAATTTGATATAATCCTATTTGTCTATTTTAATTTTTGTTCCTGTTGTTTTGGGGTCACAGCCAAAAAATCACTGCCCAGATCAAAGTCATAGAGCTTTACCCAACGTTTTCTTCTAGTAGTTTTACAGTTTTACAGTTATGTGAAAGTCTTTAACCTATTTTGAGTTGATTTTTGTATATGGTGTGAGACGAGGTCTAACCTCATTCTTCTGCACATTGGATATCCAATTTTCCTAATGCCATTTGTTGAGGAAACTGTCATTTCCCCTGTGGATTATTGGCATCTTTGTCAAAATTCAATTGACCATAAATGTGTGAATTTATTTCTGGGGTAACTATTCCCATTCTGAGGGTTACATCTGCAAAGGGGCTTCAGGGCAGACACGTGCTGGAGCCCTGGGATTCACGCAGCCCTCTCTTCCCATGCAGTGCATGGCTGGAGATGTCCTGGACTCCAGAAGCCTGTGGAACTAGTGGGTCAGCATGGGATGGGTGTGGGTAGTTCCTGGGCTGGTGGATCCACAGCAGGTGCTGAGGGGGAGCTTCAGGGGCCCTGACACTCATCTGCCCACTGAAGTGACTGCCAAGGAGCTGGGTCAGCTGGTTGGTAAACTTTCTTGGTCAGGGGAGGACTATGAGGCTTTCTGGACCATTTTGGGACAGGGAAATTGTGCTCATAGCAGCTGGGGCTGGAGAGGTGGGTAGGGTTCGAGAGTTTCTGGGAACCAAAAAGGACCATGACATACACTGGCTTTCCCACCCAGGAGTTCACTTTGGATGCTGTTGGGGTGTGAGTGTGTGTGTGTGTGTGCGTGTGTGTGTGTGTGTTGTGGGGGTGAGAGGCTGGGGGACGGGGCAGCAGAGAGTCCACACATGATTCTGGCCTGGTCCAGGTAGACATGGAGTGACTGGATCCAGGAGACGGAAAGAAGCTGGTGGATCCATGGACTATTGAGATCAGAGGAAGAATCCACCTGAAGTGGAGACTGCGGGCCTTCGGGGAGGAACGTAGGGCAGACGGTCGGCTCCTGGCTTGGTCTGTAAGTGTACTTTGCAGCTACTGGTGAGAGGAGAAAGCAGGAGGAGGGACAGGTATGGGGAGCTGACAATTAACTGGTGGCCCTACTTGTTCAGCAGGTAAGTGTCAGAAGGCCTCAAGGCCAGGAGCCCTTCCCCTGGGGTTGCCTTTGCAAACCTAGTCCAGTCCCTTGCAATTAGGTCCCCTAGTGCAGAGATGGTGGCAGCGGCCATGCAGCCTGGATGTGGGCTGGGGGTCAGAGTGGAAGAACTGGGGTGAATGCTCCTATTCACGGTCACATCACTGTTAAAGAGTTGTTTGCTCAAATAAACTCTTTAACAGTGGGGGGCCATAAAGCACCATTGCACATGGCTTTGACCCTGGAGCAACACGCATGAGGCAGCGTGGACACCAAGTCCGGCTCGCAGGCTCAGCCCTGAAGGCAGGAGGCCCAGCCCTGGACACACGCTGTGGGCTTCCAGCACTGTGGCCTTCGGAGACTTGTTTGGCACCCATCAAAAACCACAAGAAAATTGCCAGTGGTAAAACATCACATAAACATTGCTTCTTGCAAAATACTGGAAATAACAACCCTGGCATTACCAAGCAGTGAAACAAGGCCTGTGTGCGGTGCCCGAGAGCCCAGGCTGGCCGCATGGCATGTCTTGCCAGCCTTGGAGCTCCTGCCCTCTGTGGCCAGATTCCTCAATGGCCACTTGGAGCAGTGAAGGGAAACAGAGACCAGGGAACTCAGGCCACAGGGGCCTCTTTCCCTTTCTGCCAGTAGGAAGTGTTTATGGCCCAGAACTGACCTGAGCCTGGCGAGCTCACGAGCTGCTGTGGCCAGGAGGCCATGGCCCCTGGGGAGGGAACCACGCTCGGAGTCTGCTGGGCGATTGGCACCAGGCTCAGGGACGGGCCCTTGGCCTTGTGAGCAGAGGCCCCGAGGCCCGGGCCTGCTGCATCTCCGGCATCCCTGGAGCTTTATGTGGAGAGCGCTCCCACAGGGCGCCAGGGGAGCCGAGCGTAGGTGTTTCTCCATTTGTTTAGCTCAGGTGAAAATGGCACCCGTTCAGAGGTGAAGGTTCTTGTCCAGAGCCACAGAGCAAACGGGGGGCTCCTATCCTGCGTTCTTAGTGTCCATCAGCCCCTCACTGCACTTTGCAAATTTTAGGGGGCATGACCGAGGGATTCTGGGGAGCTGCATGTGGCGGGAATTCTCTACCATGAAACAGAACCAACTGCTAAGTGGTGCTTGCAGAGAAATTAGAAGCCATGCTGAGAAAATCAGAAGCACATTTAAGAATTAAATCGTTTTGAAACCTGCCCCTCCCGGTCTGCTTCTTCCTCCTAGCACTCAGCAACATTCTTGGTTAAGGTGAATTTACAGCCACATTTTTTTTTTCAATTGACAAGTAATAATTGTATATATTTATGGGTTATGATATGTTAAAGTAATTTAAAATGGAGACTAGGCCTGAAGAATTCCTGAGAAAACAAAACCACTCGGGTTTCATGAGTCACCTGGACCGTGCTCGATTTGCAAACATAAGCAAAACTTAAGCTGTTTCTTGAAAACGTCTGTATCAAAGAACAACAGAGTGGCTGACGCCTATAGCTCCAGCATTTCGGGAGGCCAAAGCGGGTAGATCACCTGAGGTTGGGAGTTCGGGATCAGTCTGGCCAACATGGTGAAACCCTGTCTGTACTAAAAATACAGAAATTAGCCAGGTGTGGTAGCGCATGTCTGTAATCCCAGCTACTTGGGAGGCTGAGGCAGGAGAATTGCTTGAATTTGGGGAATGGAGGTTGAAGTGAGCTGAGATCACGCCTCTGCACTCCAGCCTGGGTGACAAAGTGAGACTCTATCTCAAAAAAAAAAAAAGATAAAGAATAACAGAATTTAAGCTCAACCAATTAGAAGCAGCCAGTAAACTAATAATTACGTAACTAAGGACTTTCCAACAGGATAGAACAAACATGGCAACTGTATAAGGGTAACCAGTCAAATACTTGCTTACCTTCTGTGTCCATCCTATGAAAGCCTCCCTTTTGCATTTCCTCAGTGGAGCTGCTACACCACCCCTGGTTTGGAGCTACCCGATTCATGAATTGTTGTTTGTGCAAATAAACTCTTTAAAATTTTATTGTGCCTCAGTTTCCCGTTCTAAAAGTTTGGTGTCAGAAGTGGGATCTATAGGAGACCCCTGAAAACTCCCAGGCACAATGAGTAACCAGGTGCAGGCACCTACTGGGCCTGCCGTGGTGATCACAGGGAGCCTCTCAGACGTGGAGCTTTTGCAGCTTGCATCCTGTGCTGTCTGACTTCATTTGAACAACTTTTATTCCGGAGGTCAAACTGGCTCTGACGGGCACTGGACTAGGTCCAGGATAGTGCTTTGTTTCTGGGATAGGCCTAGAATCCAGGTTGAAATCTGGAGGTCAAACTAAGTGTTCAACAAAACTTGGATTGGATCTAACTGAAGGCCTCAGGTGGTAAAGTTTTAGAAGAACAGTGTAATGGGTTTCACCGGCGTCTGAGAGGCCTGGGAGTCCTCCATTTGGAACTCCAGCTAACTTTGTGTTTGAAACTATCTACGGACCCAGCATCTGCGCCTTTCTAGAGAAACTTTTATTGTTAGAAACATTTATTGTTAGAAATAATATTGAAAGAAGTCTTTAGTTTGTCTAAAGAAAAAATAAGTTCATGTATGAAACTCAGGCAGATAGCTGAGACTGACAGTGACCACATCAGGAAACTTTCATTCTAGATGAAATTATTCGTCTATGGGTATGTTTTTAAAAAGTGATCCCAAATGCCTCAGAAACAATGAGATATATTTTTTGATTGGTATACAGAAGTTCCCAAAAGACAGAATGACTCAAAAAGTAATCTCTCTAAAGGAACCTCTAGAGCACACTAATAAAAAAGCATTCTGAATCTAATAACCTCTTTAATGTCTTGCTTTTTCCATGTGAATCTCCTCAACACTAACTTCTTTAAAAAATTAGATCTTCGGATGAACCAGGTGTACTTGCAACCACTGAATTTAATTCTTGGTCTTGCCCACAACACTGAGCTATTATAGAAGTGACCACCTAAAGCTAAAACAGATAAAGACTAATTGGAAATAGACTGGATGTCTCCTCGGTTACCCACCTGAAATTCAGCCTCCAGTTTTACTAAGACTGACTCCTGATAATAGAGAAGTGGGCCCCCAAATTCCTTCTTAGAGAAAACTTCACATCCCTTTCCTCTGCCTTCGAGACATCTAAATCTTCGAAATGCAGACTTCAGAGAAATGACTCACCAGAAGGAAAATACAAAGAGAAACTTTTTAGAAATAAATTGGTAAATGAAAAATCTTAAAAGTCCTTTTCACAAATATGAATAAAAGGCTTTAGCCACCTGAGCAAGTAACTTTAACTGCCAGAGACACAATTTGGATCCAACCAGTGAATTTTATATTATTATACCTAAAATGTGGCTAAAATTACAGAACAGACTCCAAGAATCTCTGTTGGCATCTGTCTGTATCTTTATGCATGGATATATGTGTGTGTGTATATATATATATATATGCCTACACAAACACACACACAAGATATATATGTATATATACATGAAAATCAGCAGTATTTTCATTGTTTAAAGAATAAAGTTATTAGGAACTTATATAAATTATATATATCGTTATTTATGTATATATATACACACGTATATATATGTGTATATATGTATATAGCCATATATAAATAATTTATATGTATATATACATATAAATTATATAGGCATATGTATAATTTATATGTATGTATTCACATATGTAGCCATACATATATGTATATAATTTATATGTTATTCTACATATAAGGATATTATTTGTGGATGTTATTATTAGAAATGATATATCTGGGTGGTATTGTTAGAAACAATATTGAAAGAAGTCTGTTTAGTTTGTCTAAAGAAAAAATGCGATCATGTATAAAATAAGTATTTTCTCAGAAGAGAAAGGAACTAACCCCGATGATTTTCAAGTTTCTAATGACTTTAATCTTTAATAAATAAAAATATTTGTGACTTAGTTAAAAAGGATATTCTATCTAGCTCTACTAGTTGAAAAAGCTCATGTCATCTTTTGTACAAAATTTGTCAACAAGAAAAATGGCATGAGATGACAGCTGCTTTTATTTAGTATTGTGTCTGTCTAAAAACCATTTCCAACATCTTTTTGATAACTTAAAACCTTAAAACTATACTAAGTTAAATTAAGTGACAAGTATTCATTAAATATCTAGACCATTTCCAAATAATATAAACTACTAAAACATTAATTTCTGAACGTAAGTTTAAGCTTATACACTTTGGGTTCTTATTAAGAAGAATTGGAGGTATCTGGGTTTACTGGCAGGCCCGCCCTGTGCGATGAGGAAACATAAGCTATCTAAAACGGATGCAGTCGTGCGCTATCTGATTTTCACTAGATATTAAGGTTAGTAAGTGTTAAGAGTTTTAATTAATATATGTAATTAAAACTACTATAAATAATAAGGATGCAGGAAACAAGTGTATATGAAAATAGACACATAAAATAGATGCTCTAATAATACGTTACAATGATTTAATAAGGAAAAGTATACAAGGTATGTGTTTTCACGAAGGGAAAAGGAATAATTTTGTCTTAAAGCAGGTGACTGACTGTTCCAGAAAGAAAAGGAAGAAAACGGGTGAGACAAAAGCTGAAGAGACACAGGAAGTTGCAGCTCTGTGAAAGGGGATTTTACTAAGATTAGATAAATTTTATTTCCAAGGCTTAGAAGAAACCTAAGTATATACTAATACAAAGCTAGAACTGGGTTCTCTCTGTGCCAAAAGGATGACGTTTCCTTGCAATATTGGTCTGTTCTTGATTATGAAAATGTTTTTTCTTTACCCTTTAAGTAATCGGCTTAGAACACATCTTGTGTTTTATCAAATAATTTCTTACGCCACAGGTTGTCTTTTATTAGGTCTTAGATTGTTTCAGAAAAGTGAGTCTTTTTATTAAAAGAGCTAAGTTTTTTGTTTTTTTGTTTTTACAACTCTGCAGTTTTCTTGTATGTGCCTTTAAAATCTTTTGCCATTTTGGCATTGTTTCAGTGACCTCTGATCCTATTTAATCAAATGTTTTAAATTTTCTGACATTTTTGATCACTTCCCAAAATCAAATTCTGAATTAAGTCTTTTTGACCTTGAATTAGCTTTGTGAGTTTCCAGAAGGGTCTCTAAAATATCTCAAAAGAATTATTTGGCTAAGCATGGTGACTCATGCTTGCGATCCCAGAACTTTGGAAGGCTGAAGTGGGCAGATTGCTTGTGCCCAGGAGTTCAAGACCAGCCTGGGCAATATGAAGAAAGCCGGTCTCTACAAAAAAATACGAAAATTAGCAGGGTGTGGTGGCATGTGCCTGTAGTCTTAAGTGAGATGGGAGAATTGCTTGAGCTTGGGATGTCAAGGTTGCAGTGAGGAGCGGTGGCACCAGTGCACTCCGACCTGGGTGAGAGAATGAAATCCTGTCTCAAAAATAATAATAACACATTTTCTCCTTTATAAAAATAAATATTAAACTAATTAGGCTTGTTTGGTGTTAAGCTGTATGAGAGGCATTGCTAAGTAATAGGCAACGCTAAACCTTCTTAAATTTATCTTTTAATTTATATCAATTTGTTGAGTGTTACAGAAATTGTATGAAATTCCTAAGTATCTGATATGTCCTAGTATAATGTTATCTATTACAATTGTGATTAGTATCATAAAATGTTGGACGTCACCAAAACAACCCCATTTCCTTGTCAGTTGCATGATATAAAACTGCAAGAGATTCATAAAAAAGACTGACAAGTACAAGCTTCTGATAATGTTAAGATCATGCTATTGGACTGGGTAAGAATTTCCAGAGCTGTAACGATAAACTGACGGATTCATAAAGCTGCTAACCCAGTATCAAACCAAACAAAAATTAATTACGTGGGACCAATTTAACCGAAGATAATTATAATTTCTATGACTGTTTGTTGGAAACATTGCTTGTTCTTCTGTGTCTTGTATTTTAGATTTAATAAGCTCCTTTTCTCTTAAGCTGTCTATAAATTATAGATGTGGTAAAATATGCTTTTGTAAACAAAAATGGAGCATTTATCTTTTTGTCCATACCTGACTCCTCCAGAATTTGGGGAAATCATACTTAATATTTTTATTTTCCTGGCAATATGGTGTTTACTTAGGTTCAATAAGAATCTGTGCTCCTTGAGGCCAGGTGCAGTGGCTCACTCCTGTAATCCCAGCACTTTGGGAGGCTGAGGAGGGTGGATCACGTGAGGTCAGGAGTTCAAGACCAGCCTGGCCAACATGGTAAAACCCTGTCTTTACTAAAAGTACAAAAATTAGCACATGCCTGTAATCTCAGCTACTGGGGGTGGGGATGCTGTTGGCTGAACCAATCACTTGAACCTGGGAGGCAGAGGCTGCAGTGAGCTAAGATTCATTGCACTCTAGCCTGGGTGACAGAGCAAGACTCCATCTCAAAAAAAGAAAGAAAGATAGAAAAAAGAATCCATGCTCCTTGTTATAGGGCATAATTGGGAAAGTCTTTGGCTGACTTCTTGGCTTAGAGAGGTTTTTAAAGGTTAATGTGACATTTCTCCTCACCAGATATTTAAAAAAACGAAAGTGGACTGATACAAAGTCAATAAAGTTTCTTGACTATGTAAAGGAAAATGAAATTCAGTGTCCCCCAACCAACTGAATGGATGCCCCTATTTGCCAAGGGGAACCCAAAGAAACCTGAAAAAATGAGTTCAGGCCACGATGGGAAGCTGGGGAGTCAGATTACCTTGTCACGCCCTCCTCCCTTTGGGGTTCAGACACGACTGGCCAGCATTGACGTTAAAATCGAGATCATAAGGCTGACAAAACAGGCTCTTCCCAGCAATAGAATGTCTAACTCCAACCCGACCTGGTATAGTGTCGTATGACAGATAATGGGCTCTGTAGAAAATAGGGTATTTTACCGCCCAAATAGACTTTCTTTGAAATATTTTGAAGTAGCCCTGCAAAGCATCTCGGGGGGCGAATCTGCATTCTGTAGAGAATCTTCTTCCCCTAGTAGCTCTTCTTCAGAGAGTCTGACACCTTTTAAGGTCATTTACGGTAGCTTTTAAGGTAAATGCCATAAACGGTGTTTGCCATCTATTCTCTCTGAAGCCTGTTACTTAGTGGCTGCCTCTGTAGAAGAAGCACCTAGGCTTCCACAACCCGACCTATCTCAGCTTAAGTATTTCTTTTTTTTTTTTTTCCCATTTATTTATTTTATTGCATTTTAGGTTTTGGGGTACATGTGAAGAACATGCAAAATTGTTGCATAGGAACACACATGGCAGTGTGATTTGCTGCCTTCCTCCCCATCACCTACATCTGGCATTTCTCCCCCTGCTATCCCTCCCCAGCTTCCCACCCCCCACCGTCCCTCCCCTATTTCCCCCCAACTGACCCCAGTGTGTAGTGCTCCCCTCCCTGTGTCCATGTGTTCTCATTGTTCAACACCCGCCTATGAGTGAGAACGTGCGGTGTTTGATCTTCTGCTCTTCTGTCAGTTTGCTGAGAATGATGGTTTCCAGGTTCATCCATGTCCCTACAAAGGACCCAA